AATATATACATAACTTCTACAACTCAATAACAAAAAGAAACAACACATTTTGTTAAGTAGGTAAATATCTGAACATGTCACAAAGGAAGATATTTGAATATACAAGCAGAATATGAAAAAATATTCAACAATCTTAGTCATCAAAAACATACATCAAAGCCACAATGAGATGCTATTAACACACACCAAAATGTATAAAATTAAAAAGACTGACAACACCAAATGTTTGCAAGAATACAGAACTGGCACTCGCATAGACTTTATTGGTGGGTGTATAAAATAGAAGTTGCTTTTTAGAATAGGGCCTAGTAGTTTCTTTTAAAACTAAGCATGCACCTTACCCTATGACTCAGCAATTCCACTTCTAGATACTTTACAGAAGATAAATGAAAACCCGCCTAAGGGTTGGCTGAGTGGCTCAGTTGGTTAAGAGCTCGCTCAAGAGTTTGAGCTCTGAGCAACAGCGGTTCGAGTCCAGCCCGAGCTGAGCAGCCGCTGAGCTGTCAACAGGTAGCAGGATGGCTCAGCTAAAAAAAAAAAAAAGAAAAGAAAAAAAAAGAAAACCCGCCTAAAAAAAGCCTTGCAGAATAATGTTCATAGCAGCTTTTTTCACGATAACTAAAACCAGCCCAGGTGTCCATTAATATGAGAATGGATACACAAAGCGTGGTATAGTCACAAAATGGAATACTCTTCAGGGATAGGACTACGGTGAAACACTGAATGCTTTTCCCTCTTTCATAGTAGAAAAGTAATAACAGTGCTTCTAGCCCACCAGCTGTTTTCAGAGTTTTATTAGAGCACAGCACGTCCATCTGTGCTGTCTACAGCCGCTCCTGCACTGCAGTGGCAGAGCTGAGTAGCAGCAATACAGACTACGGTGCATAGAGCCTGTAAGTTTTACTCTGGGCCCTTTACAGAAAAAGTTTGCCGACTTTTGCTCTTCAGCAATGAAAAGGAATGAATTACCAATGCATGTAACAACATGAAAAATCTCAAAAACATGCTGAATAAAAGAAGCTTTATACAAAAGAAGACATATTAATAGCTGACCCTTGAACAACACAGGGATCCCCCTGTGCCCCCACCCCCACCCTGCACAGTCAAAAATCCATGTACAACTTTTGACTCCCCAATAACGTAACTACTAATAGCCTATAAGATTGATTGGAAGCCTTACTAATAATATAAACAGTTGACAACATATATTTGGTACGTTGTATGTACTATATATTGTATTCTTACAATAAAGTAAGCTAGAGAAAATATGTTAAGAAAATCATAAGGAAAATACATTTACAGTATTTACTGAAAAAAATCCACATATAAGTGGACCCACAGTTCATACCCGTGTTGTTCAAGGGTCAACTGCATATGGTTCTATTGATATAAAGATCTAGCGTTGGCAAAACTAATCCATAATGGAGAAAATCAGAATAATGGCTGCCTGTGGGTGGTGGAATGGGTTCTGACTGGTAAGGACAAGAGGGTGATGTAACATCTTATATGTTCTAGGAGTTTGGGTTTGACAAAGACTCACTCTTTTGGCCAAAAACTTTAGTCAGGTTTCTCTGAGTTCTCTTTCTGACAAAGGCCCAATCTTGGGCTTTTCTCTCTGTCCTTGTAGAATCCAGTTTGAGCAAGAATCCTGCCAAGTCCATTCAGCGAAAATCCCCCACGCTGGTACTCAACCAAATTTGAACTTGGTATCTCTTATCTGATCAAATTCCTCATCCCCTGTCCAGCCTGCCTTCAGCAAGAGTTCAGTTGAGGCTATCTAGCAAGAATCCCCCTTTTCCCTGATGTTTCCTATTAGTAATTTTCTATCCACTCACCCCCACTCTGCTCCTTGGTTATAATTCCCCATTTGTTCTTATTGGAGTCAGAGTTGAACCCCATCTCTTACTGCAAGACCCACTGCAGTGGTCCCTGTATCTATCATAATACTCCTCCCACCCCCTTTGAATAAAGTCTTCCATAAGGTCTTTTACAAATGTCATGAATAATTTTTCTCTTCAACAGATTGCACAGGTATTAGAACTCAGAGCTGGTATGCCTAAAATTTGTGCATTTCATTGTATCTAAAATTACCACCACCACCACCACCACCCCCAAAAAAAGGGAAAACAGTAAACAAATTCTAGTTAATAATATACAAGTTGAAGTATCTGGGGGGAAATAAACTAAAGTCGACAACTTTTTTTTGAAAGGTATCTAAAAAAGATGAACTGATGGATAGATGGAGGGACAGACAGATAAATGTGATAAAACAATAAAATGTTAATTTTAGAATCTAGAGGATGAGGCCATGAGTGTTCACTAAAATTCTTTCAATGTCTCTCTATATTTGAAATTTCTCAGTAAAATGTTGAAGGAAATGTTTACCTCCTGTGAAACTGTCATAATATAGATAATGAAAATAAAGTCTTCTGCCACTGTTTTATACATATTCATCCTTAGACAACAAAGGGAAAGTTTTATCCAAAAACAGTTAGAGCCTCATTATCATCACAGAAGTGTAAGAAAACTGTAAGCTCGTTCTGACATTAAAGAGGGCTGAACAATTTAGAGTCAAACGTCCATCAATGTAACTGCTTCTTACAGCGGCCCACATTCAAACACTGAACTCTGAGGGCAAGTCTAGCCATTATATTTTAAGTTGATTTGAACAGCGATGAGGCAAACTATGTTTAATTCTGTACACAGGGACATAATGTGGCCTGCACTCTTAAGTGAATCTGATATATCAGTGTTCTCTATACATGTGTTTATTGAAATTTTTATAGTGGAAAAGAGATAATAGTGCTAAATAAGGAGTTCCAGTTTCTATCGGATTATAATATTTTACATGTCAGGCTATAATTTCTCTTCCAACAGCTCAGAAATATCACCAACTGTATTCAAAGCACTGGAGTAGATAAACAAAAATATAGGCCTCGTTTCGTGTCCTTAGTCTGTTTCTACCTAAGATGGTAAGAAATTTGGAAGGTTGTTTTTTTTTCCTTTATCTTTTAAAGAAGCCACTTTACTATTTGAGGTCATACTTTTTTGTCTTAGGTAATCACATTCTTGTTAACTGGCAAATAAAATGCCAAAACAAAAATATGTCTATGGTCTACTTCCGTCTATCCGAACTTACCCTCCGTCCTACCATCTATCCACACTTACCCTCCGTCCTACCGTCTTATCAAACTTTCCCTCCGTCCTACCGTCTATCCACACTTACCCTCCGTCCTACTCAAGTGTGTCTTGTCACCTGTGGGAAAGACAAAGGACCCTTTCGTTCCCCTGCCTCTGGACTTCTGTTCCAGCTGGATAGTCTCCCACACCTGGAATGTCCTTCCCTGACTTTCTTCCTTAATACTTTTCTCAACACTTTAAGCTTTTGATCATTTGGAAAGTAAAAAAACAGACTCTAAAGATTGATCTATACATTAGTATTAAGCATCATTTTCTTCAAGAACTAAGCTGTCAAGTTTCCCTAAAAAAAAGTCAGTTTGACATTCACGTTACAAAGGCATCTTTCAAATTATATTTAACAGCATACATGATTTAACTTTTTTTTTAACAACTAAGCTTTTTATACTCTGCAGCTTCTCTAACTTCACAATTAGAGCTGAAGGTTTATATACAAGTGACAAAAGCACTTTTGATGAAGAGTTCCCAGAACTAACTGGAATGCAAATCCTAGAGTAGAGCCATCTCGCTGAGTAGACAGTAGCTCGAAAGTGAAAAGAACAAGTATGCTCACCAGCTCTTCCATGATGCTGACCTGCCTTACTGAAGCGTTCTTATGAATATTAAAACAGATTGATTGCATACATTTCAAGCCTCAATCAGACCTCAAGGACTATACTATAAAGATGTCACACAAATAGTAACCAGAGTTGTCATTATTCCCAGGAAACCACTTAGGAGCAAGAGTCTAGTCAAATTGTGGAAAGCAGAAAAAAAGTGAATCATCAGTTTGCCTTAAAAAAGAGTACCACAAACTAATTGTAAGTGCAGTATCTCCTTCGTAGGATAGGTTTTATCTTTGTTGCAGATGCATTCTTATTTATTGTATTTAAAATTTTTCCCATGATTACTACTTATCATAATGACTATTTTTGCATGACATTAAAATTTAACACATATTATTTTAATAGCCACACACTCCTTTATTAAATAAATATTCAGCACCTATCTGAGAAACAAAAAGGATACCACAAACCAAGTTTCATTGTTTTCAATTTAAAATGACTTACCTGATTTGAAATAAAAACTTCGCAATAAGGGATATAAGGCTCACTTCTTTTAAAAACCATCTCATTTAAATGTTCATAGTATATTGTCACATGAAAAAAGTCTAGTTTTCAAAAAATATATATTATTGTATATGCCTTAGTTTTCTTCCAAAAACAGGGCACTGCCTTTAGTCAAGGTCCTTACAACATCTAACAGGAAACTCCTATGGTTTCAACTTAAGCAAAGTAGGGTAAACAGCTATCATAATGTTATTAAATAGCTTAGGGGTCACAGAAGATTGTTTTATATTTAGGAATATATGACATACATATGTATGCTAGGTGTATAATATGTATACTGTGTATATGCATGGAATATGTATATATACATATATATGGATAGAATATATACTAATATATATGATTAGAAAAAGTCTGAAAGATATAAATCCAAAATTAACAGTGATTACCTCTGGATGATACGAAAGCTATAAATTTTCTATTTTGTTATTTATCTTTTCTAACTTGTCAACAAACTCTAAAATTTTTATTTTTATATCCCACTGAGCTGGTTTCACCAGAACGTTTTCCTTATACGGTATTCAAGTTCTACTAAGGAAGAATAATTTCGAAGTTCTCTTCCAGTTTTCTAAAATTTTCAAAATTTCCTTGTACTCTGGTAAATCTGTTCTAAACAACAGGATGTTAAACATGTGCTAATTTTCATATATATGAACTTTTAGATATTGCAAATCAAATTCCTTATAAATTTACCTTCATCATACATTTCTTCTATTAAATAGGCCTCTGCTCGATCTTTCAGAGCATTCACGTTGTCAGGTTCCATCTGTAAAACTTCAGAACACACTCGAATCGCTTCAACAGGCTTCTCATCCTAAAAGTAAATGTGAAAAAGATTTATGGTTGCTATTCCATATGTTAAGTTTTTACATTTCTGGGAGCAAGTCAACTGTTACCTTAGAAAAGCAGTGGCAAATCCTCTCTTTTGAACGAATTACATATTCGGAAACACTTGGCTCTGTTTTCATGACAGACTCATATTTGCTGGTCGCATCTGTGTATCTATTAAGTGAGCAAATCATGATGAGTAACAATGAAATTCTATTTCCAGAGTCAGAGAAAGGAGCCACTACTCTTCACTGAGTGTTGCTTAATCAGTCCCCTGAATGAGCACATGCCTTCAAACACTGCTTTTACCTTATTAATCTACAGTAGCAAGGAAGGTGCTGTCTGCAAACTGAGAGAGATCACATGACCACAGAAAACGTATATGGACAAAGCATACCTGAGTACCAATCAAGCCAAATGATGAATGTCTTTACAGAAAAACGCTTGTGATTTTGGAGCTGAGTAAAACACCTTGTTAGTCTCACTTATATGGAGCACTTTCAGCAAAACAGAAATAAGGTTTTATTTCTTGGTCACCATACATTTTCATGAAATAATGGAGCCCATTACATACATTCTATTTTATATAATAATGTTAATTGTCACAACTAAGTACAATGTACTTCCTTGCAGAAGGAACCTGCTTAAATTCCTAACTTTACTAGCTTTCTAAGAACAATAAAAGCTATTTCAGCATTTTTTTAAAAATTGGTGGAAAGTACTACTCATGTTAGACATTAAGTTACTTTCCTCAGTAATGGCGAACTGAGGTGTGTGTGTGTGTGTGTGTGTGTGTGTGTGTGTGTGTGTGTGTGTGTGTGTGTG